ATTTAAAAATTAAAAAAAAAGAGTGGGAGATAGGCATATGGACAATTGTTAATCAGTTACAGAAAAGTCTTGAGGTTTTTTTAACTGGATGAACACTATTTAATCATATGACTGTAAAGTTGCCCATGTTTGTAATGAATGCAGTAAATTGTTATTATCAGATACTCAGGCTTTGAAAATCTGATGATCTGGAGTAGTAGACCTTGCTCTGACTTGGGCAGAGGTTTATTTTTCTCACCTTGCTAAAGGCTGATGTTAAATGTTTAAGAATATGGATAAATACAGAAAAGGCAATAGCAATAAAGAGACCAACCGTCTGAATTATGGGCTGGTTTACTACAGAATAATAAACTAAGAAAGAACCCTCCTTCAATCCTCCCAGTTGCCATGAGCTGAGCAGCGTAATGAACTCAACTCCATGCACTTGAGATAAAGAGAAATGAAACAAAATTAAAATAAATCTTCTACATTACAAAATAAAAAAAACCCTCACATCCTTATATCCTACTTTAGTTCAAGAGTGGGTCTTACTGATAATAACCTGAGACTATCACCAGAAACATGAACATCACTACGGGGTCCTGGACACCTTTCTCACTTCAAAAGGAATCAGGGTGGGGGGAGGGCAGGGCATAGGTAATAGACCCTCCAAACTGGCCCTTCTCTCTCCAACCTCTGTTTCTCAGTTCCACAAGTCTGTCAATTTACTCTTCCTAAAATATCAAGTTCATCCTGTTACTTTATACCTCAAAAGTCTTCAGTTAGTTTTTATTTCCTTTTAAAAAACAATTCAAACTCCTCAGGCTAATTCCTTGCTAGTTCAAGATTCCCTAGATTCTGGTCTTATCTGTCTTACATGAATTCTCCAACCAAACTAACCTGCCATTGTCCCCCCAGAAACTCAACCCGTGGTCCTGCCGCAGTGCCTTGTCTCATGTGAGCCCCTCCCTGAAGGCTCCTCCTCCACTACTGGCTTCATCCATGACCTTCCTGCTCACAGGAAGATCATATGGAGTTTAGGGGCGACTGTGTGGCTCAGATGGTTAAGCGTCTGCCTTCGGCTCAGGTCATGATCCCAGGGTCCTGGGATCGAGTCCCGCATCGGGCTCCCTGCTAGGCAGGGAGCCTGCTTCTCCCTCTGCCTCTGCCTCTCTCCCTCTCTCTCTGACTCTCATGAATAAATAAATAAAAAACATTAAAAAAAAAGATCATATGGAGTTTAAGTTTCTTGGGGATCTAGGCTGAACGTGAAATCCTTGTTTCCCACTGTGTGGTGTGGCGCTATTCACACAAAGGCTCAGGAAACATAACTGAATGAACAAGTAGAAGAGTGAGTGGACAGAATCAAATCCGAAGTTGGAGTGATTTTTGGAAAATAGATGTATTCATTGGGATGCTTTTAACCTGCACTCAAACTTCCTTACACAATAAAGAAATGTGCTATTTCTTATTATCACACATAACCGGAAGCCCAGTGGGAGGAAGCTGCTAAGTGACTCAGCACTGCCAGCAGAAATGCAAGCCTCTCTTACCTCCCTGTCCCACTTCCACCCTGCTGGCTTCATCCTAAGCAGGTGACCCATGGTTATGAGATAAAGACCAGCAGCGACGGGGGCCACGTGTGTTTTTGTTCACACCTGGCGGGAGACAGCATGCCTCCCTATACATGGCCCAGGGGAGCGCCCTGGGCCAACTGGCTTGGACTACACTTGGGGGCAAAGTCAGTGCCACTGAAGACATGTGGACTGCCCTGGTTAGTTTTCTAAGACTAGATAGACACGCTTGCTAACAAGTTGTGTTAGCAAGAGGAAGGGTGGTGGTAATTAATGTTCAGTCAATAATATATAAGTCCCTAGCAGGGCTAGAAAGGAAATCACAATGCTCTGACATGCATTACCTCGTCAAATCACAATGGCTGTGAGCTAGGCATGATTGCTCCCACTTCACTGAAGAGGAAACTGAGGCACAGGTTTTAAGCAATAGAGCCAAGATTTAAAATTTGGGTTCCTAATAACTTCATGGTTGAAAAAATGACCTAACTAGGAGGCTGAAGAAAAATGTTACCCTAATACAACTCTCCTATTTACCAATGGCAGGAGCCAAGAATTCCTGCTATCAACCATTCCTTAAAGGAGAAATCAGCACCACCACCCCACCCACCCCACCCCCCAGTAAGCAAAAATATAAAAGTTTTACTTAGGAACACTTACTTATTATTCCTTGACATGCCTGAAATTAGGTAATCAGATTAAAAATTACTTACAAAAAAATGAATAAATGGGGACTCCAATAAAACTAACTAGGTCCCAGGCACTATCCTAAGCACATCTCATGTATTTTATCATTAAATATTCACAAAAACCCAGTGAGGTCATACTAACCCCAATGTACAGACTGAGAAAGTAAAGCCCAGGGAGGTTAAGTAACTTGCCTAAGGTTAGCCAGCCAACAATAAGTAGAACTAAAATTGAACCCTTCCTCTTAAAACCTATTCCATATCCCCTCCATGCATTAATAATTCTTATATCTGTTATCTCTATCAGAAACCGAGAAATTTATTCCTAATTTGCTTGGAATCCACGGCAACAATGGGCCACATCCTCTGTTCTTCCTACCCCTCCAACATCCCTACTCCCACCTGTCCCAGCAAAAGAAAACGAAGATGCCAGGTATAACCCCTCTAAACCAGGTAAATGTGTTGGAACATTTGCTTAGACCTCCAAAGCATGCATTCTCAAGGTAGGAGACATCACCTCTAATGGGGCACAAATTAATTCTTTGAAGCCAAAGAACACAGATACTATAACAGTGTGTGGCCCTCCAAAGCCCAGTGCTACCATCAAAAGCTTACTTCTCAATATTTCATTTCCCTCGATAGGGAGAATTTTAATAATTTTTCTCCTAAGGGAGATGATAATGAAAAAAAGTGGTTGAAAATCCACTGGGAAATGAACCGAGATTGAGAATGGCCCCGGGGGCCCCACCTGCACCCACATTCCTTCCCTGAATCTGGGCAGTGTTGGCTGCTAACCGGGTGGAGGGTCTTTTCCAACCTTCCCAATTATTTGCAAGAGTACAAATGCGTTCTTCACACACGAATAAGTTTATATGTATGTTTCCAAAAACGAAGAGTTTTGGAGAGTCCATTTGGAGAATTCTTAGTTAAATGCAGTCCAGCTGCTCTCTCTGCCGCAGGACCCACCAACGGGCACAGTGACTCGCTGAGAAGTGACCCAGACACAGCCCAGAGCTTGGCTGTCTTGCGGCGCCTTCTGGGATGGGGCACACTTTGGGAAATGCTGCTTCAGACAACAGTCACCAGCACCAGGGCCCGCCCAGCACTCAGGATGAGGTGGGAGCAAGAGAAATCCGTGCTGATTGCATTTACTTCCTTGCCTTCTGAGTTCAGAATGTCCTGATGCTCAGCTCGGCTCCAATCAGACCAGACCTCAGAAAAAGCTACACAATAGAAAAGTAGAAAGAGAGAAACATCTGTCTACATGTTTTTTGTCCCCGTCGCAATCTATCCGCAGCAGTGTAACCCATGCATCCCTCCTCAAACACATACTCTGCCTGCTGCTAGTACATTTCGAAGGGTTTCAGGGAGTGTCAGTGAGGATACGCGGGTTGATTTATTCAGCAGGAACATGGTTACAGACAAGAAAGACGGGAGAGGGGAAAGACACAGAACTCTGCCAGGAATTCCTCCTGCGAAGGGAATCTGCTGAAGAAGATGAGGAGAAACGGGAGAACGCGAAGATGGGGTGCCTCCCCAAAGTTGCAGGGAGTCAGCAGCAAGTCTGAGCACACAGCCCCAAGAGCCAAGTGGGGGCACTCTCTTCCCACCCGCACTACCTCTCACAGCCAGGGGTTCTTTTCATGGCATGCACTAAAAGAAAATACTCCAGAAGAGTGAAATTGCCTGAGCGCCAGCAGCCTTTATAAGAATTTCTGTGCAGCACATTTTCATTTCCTCCACATGGCGGGACCACCTTCTTGGTTCCGATTTCACCTGCACGACCCTAAACCACGGACACTTGCTGTAACAAAGTGTTTCCAAGCTGGGATTTTGGAGGAGGCCTACAGGCTATCTTTGACCACCTCCTCGCTTTCCCCTTCTGAGCCCAGTGGGTTTTTTCAAGTGCAGGCATTTAGTTTGGCCCTAGCCTGGTGTCCACACGCACCCTTGACTGATGAAGCTGACATATGTCCAGCACGATTTTTTTTTCTTTTGCTGTCACCTAAGGATACCTGTACTGGATTCTTCCTGGCCAAAGATCTTAACCTCCCTTGTTTCAGAAATTGCACCCAAGGCTGCAAGAACTCCTAACTGCACAGCATCTTGCTTTATGTGGTGTTTTCCACAGACCTCTATAAAACTCAAACTCAAATTTTAGTTTCCATCTTTGGGACCATTAAGTATTTTCATCAGAGATCTTTATTTTACTTAGTGCTTCTTTTTTTCTTAGTGCTTTCCTTTAAAAAAATTATTTTGGATGTGTGCTTACGGGCAAGGGCAGGGGTTTTGAATGATGTTTCTTTGATTATCCCACTTAATCAACAACCCCAAATGTCACCCCAGAGCATCTTATGCATTGCTAAGCCATGTGTTTGCAATCGGCAGTTGCTCTTTGAGCCAGGCCAGCATGTGTTTTTGGCTTTTGAATTCATTTCAGCAACCTTGAGAAGGCACAGCATAGCTGGGCAGGAATTTGAATGGTATTAGCTGCATTTGGAGTCTATAGAAGCCAGATAACTGTCCACCCATCTGTCTGCTCCAGGACGCCCATTTGCATTTGCACACCAATCGCTCACTTTGTTCTGAGCCTCTCAGGCGTGTACATATAAAGTGCAGGGAGCAAAAAAGCCCACCGTCTGTTTGACGGAAGGCCGGTCCTGCAGGTCCTGCGCATTTATGCACGATGAGGATAAGGAATCCAGCGAGGGTTCTGCCAAGCTCTGGCTTTTAATTAGTCAGTAAAGCTTGATAAATGGCTCACCTCTTGGGCTGTAGCTTCACATCCTCAGACATCTGGAGGGAAACTGGAAGGGAAATGTTCTGCTCATTCCAAAGAGCCAGATGTGTGCCATCACGCGGAAGGAATGTCCAGATGCCGGACCTCTCCACCGCATTCCTCCAAGGGAGCCTTGCCCGCAGTCTTTTTGAAAGTCAGATGAAGACATTTTTATTGAGGCTTACTCGGTGTGGTATAGAGCACTTTCTGCCACTTCAAATCCTTTAAAAGAGATAGGGGTATAAATAAATAAACTCAATTTATTATGAGACTAAGGAATTCTTTCTTTTTCAAATTGCAATTCTACATTTAAATTGACTTCATTACCTAGATGGAGTGTGTCAGAGTGTTAACGTCAGTGTGTGTGTGTGTGTTGGCTAGAGCAGGGATTTTAAAACAAGGCTACCGGTCATTGTTACCTGAAAATCTTTCTAGAAATATGGATCCCTGTTCCCAAACTGGACCTATGGAACTAAAGTCTCCAGTTCTGAAATTCAGAAATCAGTATTTTTTAAATGCACCCACTTGGTTCTGTCATCAGAGCACAGAGAGGCATTTGGGACCCAGAGAGTCAGGAACATATAAACTAATATTAACACTAATGGCCAACTTTCACTGACCACCTGCCGCGTCCCAGGGCACTGTTCTATGTATTTGACAGGCACCTGATTTAGCCTGGCCCAGCACGGTATCATGGAGATAGTATGGTACCTCCGTTTTAAAATTGAGGACATGGAAGCTGAATCACAATGTGGGTAAGTGGTGAGGCTGAACATCCAAGATCCTGGTCTAAAGGGTTGGTTCTTGTTAAATTACAAGCTCCTTGTTAAATTAGGGCCAAGGCAGATGTCATCCCCAGAACACTTCCCCTCAGCCCTGAAGTCTCCAGTTGATTAGAGCTGAATCGGGAGATTAATCTATCCTCTGATCTAGCCCAACCTGTTTGTCTTACAGATGAATAAACTTTGACCTAAAGAGAATAAGTGACTCTTCTGGGAACACCCAGATGAGAACTTAGATTTCCTGATTTTGTCAGAGTTCTTACAAAAGCACCACACTTCTGGTTTAGTAACTAAGCTCTCTCTGATTTAAACATTAAAAAGTCCCCTTGCCCTGGAAAGATAGCCACATTCAATGGTGTTCAATTAATTTCCTAAAAGTTCCAGCTTTAAGGATCTCTGCAACTAAAACCTTCCAGAATCCCAGAGTGCACCCTTACAGGGTCCTGGGTTTTGTTTGCTTGTTTGGGGGTCTAGATGAGAAATCTTTCCAAATTTATCTTAGAAGTCTGCTTTTCCGATCCCAGTTCCATGGGCATATATTTAGGGGTTTAGGGGGTAAAAAGTTTTAAAATGGTTACCTAATGGCATTTGAAGACTCCAGGCACATGTTTCAACAGTTTTCCCTGAGGCTCCCAACTCACATGTTGCTTATTGCTAAACTTTGAGTTAATATGACTACTTGAGATTTAGACCTCAATCCGCCCACTGACATACTCTGGAAGCTTCCTTTCTCCATCCCACACACAAAATTTTGCTGTTGACATTATTACATAACTTTCCTCAAACTCAGATTGCCAAGATTGGTATGTGGGGCTCCTACTGTCTGCTAAGGTGGAGCTGTGAATCTGTAGCTGTGAATCTGTTTTCACAATTTTCTCTCAGCCTAAAAGTATACATTCAGGTTCAGATCACTGAGCTGGAAACTTCACACGTAAGACTTCTACTGAGATGTGTGCCAGTGTGTGCCCACAGGGCAGCTAAGGTGGAAAAGGCAGACAGACAGTTCAGTGACCTGGTTCCTGCCGTGTTCCCATGACAACGGCCAGATTTGCCATCATTTCTTCAAAGATTTGGTGACTTTTTCCCTCTCTCCCAAGCTCAGGATACCAAATTCTTATGTATTAAGAAACAAAACCTCACACAATTGTGGGAAAGCTAGAGAAATAAGGCTCCGAAAGAGGGAGTCTTAACCAGAACTGCAGAGACACAGCACCAATGGACAAGTCAGTATTTGCCAGAGTTGCTGGACCAGGCACATCCATCTACGGATGTGGAGAAGCCTGTGGAAGGGAGTCCTGGCTCGCTGGTGACCAGCAGGACCAGCCATCAGGAAGATGAGCTAGACATGGAGTGAGGCAAAGGAAAGGCAAGGTAGGCCCCACTGGCAACTGTCTGACAGGCTCTCATTGAGGAGCAGAAAGAATAGTCTGGAACCCACTCATGTCTCTCACATTTGTCTCTCACCACATCTAACACAACCATCTTCAGAAAGTAATGGCTGCTTTCTTTCCACCTTTCAAACATCATGCAATCTTTCCTTGAGTGGCTTTAACTCACACCCACACATTGATTCTTGGGAACACATTTCCAGCTTAGCCAAGTTGACACAGTACAAAACCACGACAGTCCACCCCCTTTCAACGACACGTATACACCTTTTTAAATCATTTTTATTCCCAAGTAAGGATAATAGTAAAAATATGTGTTCACCCAACATGGTGCAACTTTCATCACACAACCAAAGACCTACTAAGTCTCTCCCTAAAGTAGCATACAGAAGCCCATGTGTTACTTCATCCATCTTTGGATAGCCATGTCATGCAAAACCATTTCTAAACTAAGACTGAAGTTTTTCCTTCTCAGTAAACTGGTCATAAGAACTCCCAGTGATGCCATAAGTGGACACTTAGAGAAAGGATGCAATATAGCAGAACTAGGAGCCATGAGAATCTGAGACACTGCTTTGTAAAGCTTACATGTGTCTTTAGGACCTGCCTGAGCCTGATAGTGTACATCTTACTTCCACCTGATGATAGAAGGCTGTCAGAAAACCCTCAGTTCACAATGGGCAGTACGGATTCCAAGGTCAAGTGTTCAGTCTCTGCTCTATACAGACATAGGGACTCAGTCTCTATGGCCTTGTAACAAGTCAAAAGCTATTTTTCAAGTGAATAGTTATCTACGGAATGGCATGGTTATGCTCCAAAATCCTAAAGACCTTCCCTCTGATTCATTTACAAGGGGCTGCCCAAGTCTCAGTATAGCATCTATGTGTCAGAGACACATCAAGTGTCAGAAAATATCCTTTATCCCAAGGCCAAATTGTCAGTACAGCTTGCAAAGCCATCTACAGCAGAACCTTCTTTTGTTATGGGACCCACTCACAGCTGGCAGGTTTTTGGGTCATTCAACAAATGATTCAGATGACATGACCAAATGAAGTGCATGCTGCCTTCAAGATCCATAAAGGCCTGCTAGATTTTGTGTCTTCTTAGCGGAGGAAGTGCTAGATGCAGTGCAGAAACTTCTTTCAGCATGTTTTAGAGCATTGAACCCCTAGAAATTTTCACTGAGATAAAGGTTCCTAAATTTCTGTGGGATCTATTTCCACCCGCTGTTATACATACGTCTTATCAAAGTGTCTAGGTCAGTTTTCTCCAACTTACTTCTTGCTTACTAGGTCCAATCAGCATGATGTCATCAATGGTCATCAGTGTAGTAGCTCAGTATGATGTCTCATGGAATAGAGGGACAAGCAAGAATCCTGTAGATTAGATTATGACAGAGGACTAGAGATGAGTTAGTTCAGTGAAGGTACATTGCTAGCCCTGCCAGCTAAAGGCACACTGCTTCTGCTAACCTCTACTAACACATACAGAGGGGAAGAGGCATCTGCAAACTTAATAACTGCATGCCAGATGCTAGAGGATGTGAAAAATGTACATATCTGGATAAGCAACTGCAATCGAAGTCACCAACTGACTGAGTGTACAATGATTCACTGTTGGTTCCTAAAATCCATCTGTCTTCTGCACAGGCCAAATAGGCAAGTGAAATGGAAATACGGTAGGATTCTCTAACCCTGACTTTCAAGTCCTTGATAGCAGCACTAACCTCTGCAGTCCCTCCAGGAATGCCATAATGCTTCTGAGGCCATTCTAGAACCTGCGACTTGCCCTTTCCCACCAAAGTAGCCTTTAGTTCATTCCACGGGTCAAGGAAACAATGTGGGGGCTCTGCCAGTTGCTGAGTATGTCTATGTTCCAGTTATGCACCCCAGAACTGAGGATATAAGCATAGGATAGGTTCAGGGACACACTTGGCCCACTGTGAAATGGACCTGAAGCAAAACCCTATTAACCACTTGACCACAACAATCTGCTACTCTGGCTGATGGGCCATCGTAGCATTTTGAGTCCCTAGGAGGTAGTGTCATCTCACATCCAGTATACAACAGTTCCCCCAAAGTCTCACTAGTTCCCCTTTCTTAATGACAGTCACCTGCAAAATGGTGGCACAACCCTCTGGAGAAGGCCAAGGAGATTTACGATATATACCCATGGCTGTGCTTTAGGGTCAGCCTCACTGAGGATGAGCAGTCATAGCTGTGCCTGCCCCTGCTCTGAGAGACCAGATGGTAGGCACACTCCCCATGCTAATGGACTCTGGCACAAACACGTCTTCTTACCCACCGAGGGCACCTTCCACTAGGTGCTGTTCAGCCTCTCCACCCCCGCAGGGCCCCTTCTTTGAGGAATCTAAGTCTCTGCAGCTATCCAGAGAGAAAAAGGCTCTGCTCTGCTCCCCCCCTTATGAGAACACAAGCCCCTAATGACATTCTTTGCATATAAATCTGTTTGCACCTTAGTAAAAAAGGCCCTATAAGTCAGGTATTATAAATCCCCCCCTGTATTCATTTCCTAGGCCTGTTGGAATTACCAGCAAACTAGGTGGCTTAAAATGACAGAAATTTATTTTCTCATAGTCCTAGAGGCTAGAAGCTAGAAATCAAAGGATCAAGGATCCTTCCTTGTCTCTCCAGCCTCTCGTGACCCCAGGCATTCTCTGACTCATGGTGGCATCATGCCAATGCTCTCTCCATCTTCACATGACCCTCTCTTCTATGTGCACCTCTGCATATCCTCCCCTCTTTTTTTTTAATTATTTTATTGTTATGTTAATCACCATACATTACATCATTAGTTTTTGATGTACTGTTCCATGATTCATTGTTTGTGTGTAACACCCAGTGCTCCATGCAGAACGTGCCCTCTTTAATACCCATCACAAGGCTAACCCAACCTCCCACCCCCCTCCCCTCTAGAACCCTCAGTTTGTTTTTCAGAGTCCATCATCTCTCATGGTTTGTCTCCCCCTCTGATTCCCCCCCCCTTCATTCTTCCCCTCCTGCTATCTTCTTTTTTTTTTTCTTAACATATA